GTAAGTATATTGTATTAAGTGCCAGAATGAAGATGGATACAAGGCACAATTTAGACAGATGTAAAACAGAGAGACAGGAACAAGGACTTATGTCTTCTCTCTCCCCAGCCACTACCACTCCCTTCTGCACAGTGGCAACTTCTGCACAGTGACTCTCTTTCTATAGGGGGAGAGAGTCATGTTTTTTAGTTATTTTTCTGTTGTAGATAACTGATAATTGTGTTTAACAAAGAAACTCCATACATGTCTGAGCAAAAAGTCTAGAAAACGAGAGGGATTTTGGGTCCTTTCCTAATATGTAGAGTTCTGGGTTACTTGGAAAACCAGGGACCATTTAGTGATTTCAATCTTTTTTCTTCAAAAAGAACTACAGTGAATGGAATCTGTAGGCGTTCAGATAGAGCGCTTTATTGGAAAAAGAATAAGTTTCAAAGTTCTGGACTCTTTAGCACTCATATATCTAGTGACCTTGAAAACTCATTTCTCCGGTGTAGGTCTCAGGGTCTCACATCCAAAATTAAGTCATTGTCCCAAAACACTGGGCAAATGAGTGCTTTCTGTTTTCCATTGCCTGATGTCCATTGGACCTCATATCTCCTCTTACTTTGTACTCAAGAGTTGGAAAAAAAAATGGGATGACTCTACCTCCACTATACTTTCTGCCAGTGAGATGTAGAGATGTTTATAAGAAACTGATTGTACATGAGCTTCTGATAGAAAATTCCATTTTTCTCAAAGACTGGGCTTTCATCTGTTAGTCATTTGAAGATACAGAGAGGGGTGGCAGGGTAAGAGCAGAATGTGTCTAAGAAGAAATATATCTTCAGGATAAGAGTATCTGCCTAGTCACCCACCACGTCATTATTACCCCCATGTAAGAATAACATGTTTTTCTCATTGAACTTCTTCCATTTAATTGTAAAGACTATTTTTAAATATTTAGGAACAAAGAAACATAGTAATACAGTCAAAATATATAGAATGATCAATAATAGAAAGTTTATTCAGAACATTAGGTTTCTTACTGAGTTATATATGCCCTCCTCCTTCCTGAAATTGTTAGCATGTGATATTTAGCAACATCCATCTGCCTCCCAACTAGACTGTTGCTCTTAAAAGTCAGGAACTCTTTCTTAGATGCCCTTCATAAGTCACATGGGTCTCACGGGGCTCACAGCACTGCTAGCTACAGAGAAGGTATCATTCACCAATTAGTTGAGTGACTGCTAGTCCATTTACATCTCTGTCTTGTAATATTTCTCTACAAAAAGACTCTCACAGTTCTTTTTAGGGATTATTTATTTTTGAACACTAATTGATATCATAAAATGTTGGACTAGTATCATTGGATTGATATCAATGAAATGTGTTGAAGTAGCACTAAGCTTATGTGAACTAGAGCAGTGTTCCTTAGCATTGGCACTATTGATGTTTTGGTATAACTTGGGATATCTGTAACAAATCTTTATTGTGCTTATCTGTATACTATACTATGATAAAGAATATCCCTGCTATGCCCATTTTTCCAATAACACCCCTTCCGATTTTGACAAAAAATATCCCCAAATATTGCCAAATATCCCTCTCTGGGGTTGGGCCTAAGAAGAATGCAGTTTCTTGATTTGAGAAACACTGACTTAGAAGAGAACACAAGGTGACCCATAAAACATTTATCATTTGGGGGGCACCTTCTGATTACTGAAAAATCCACTATGCATTGTCTTTTCTTGTGTTTCTTATGTGATTTACATTCTAGGGTCTGTTTCTTATCTTACTGGGAAAATGTGGACCAGCTCTGCTCTTGCAGTAACACTGTTCAGCAAAATGTAGATGCAAAACTGCTTCACAGAGGGTAGATTATGGCAAATAGTTTGAAGAAATGATTGGGAAATTATTATTGAGAAAGCAATTAAACTGAGGTTTAGAAGATAGATAGGCATACTGGTCAGAATAAGTTAGTTTCTGTAATCCATGATTTTGGTTGATGTGACACAATGAAGTGTTAATTCTTAAGTTGTCATTCATTATATGCCAACAGAGAAATCTTGCTAGTCCATTCATGGGGAAGCCAGCCCTTTCCAACAGCTGACCCCACATCTTCCATGATCCTTGCATTATTCTAATGAATTTCACTGGAGTGTAGAAAAGAGTATAGAGAGATATGGAACTGGGGATGATGTTTCCTCTCTTTTGCCCATCACCCCCTTTATGTCACTTATCAGTTCTGACTATAGACCTATCATGTGTCTTACTTCTGCTCATACTGCTTTGGCGAGATTGAATTATGTACCACTTACCCCCCGATGATGGTATGAAAATGCACTCTAGCATTATGTTGAGAAAGTCAAGGAAAGCATGGATATTGTTGAGCACTAAATATGTCTCTTGCAGCAATTGCTGGAGAGAGCATTTTAGGAGAGTAGAATAATGAGTGCAAACAAGTTGGTAGGAACATTCAAGGGAAAAATGAGGAAGAGTTAACTATAAAATAGAGTGTAAGTAAAAGACAGTTATAGGACAAGTGGCTGAAGTGTCAATATTTCTTGCATACATTTCAGTGATATTTACAGTGATGATGGACAATTGTTGGACTCATTTTTTTTTGAAGTCTTCTCAAAATGAATTATTAAATATCCTGACAATAAAGTAACATGCATAGAGTAGAAACTTTAGACAACATGGAAATTATAATGATCAAATTTATAAGCCCCTGTATTTTACTATCCAGAGAAAAAATATCTATCAATTTGTTAGTGAGAAAGAACAAGCAAAGACTGTGAATTCAAACTGTTTGTGTTATTTCATCACCATTTATCAGTTTGATAACTCTGGGCAGGTGACTTTGAATTTATGAATCTGTTTCATCATCTGATAATTATTGTGAAGATGAGATGAAAAAACAAATATTAAGGAATTATTGTGCACATTTTTCTCTTATTGCAAATACTTTTTTGACTATGTAAGATTCCCATACTTATGGTTGTCATAATTTAACTCACATCTCATTAGAGATTTAGTTTGTTTCTTTTCTGGTGGATCTGTGTGTGTGTGTGTGTGTGTGCATACATATTTATTTGAATGTTGCTTGAATAAATACATTTTTTAAATTTTTAAAAAGGATTTATTTATTTATTCATACAGAGTTAGGGGACAGGCCAGAGATGTGGAAGGTGAGAGGATTCACCAGGGACAGAGTGGGGAGCAGAACAGGCAGATTGACAAAGTAAACTGCTGAGGGGAGCAGCGGGCAGGTCAGGAGAGGTCTGCCACCCATGTGGTCACCTCAGGGGCAGGCGGGAATCGAACTCATGCGGAAGTGGCTTAAGCTTCTCAGTGCAATGCTTTAACCCGCTGCGCCACCAGGGAGGGCCGAATAAATACATTTTTACAAAAGTTCTGTATCTTTGATTATTTCTGTAATATAAAGTATAAGAGCAGTGGATCAACATATGAATTTAAGCCCTTTAAATTGCCCTCCAGAATTATTGTACCTTACTATTTTCATTAGCGTGGCATATGAATTAGTTTCCTCTACTTGCAGCAATATTTCAATTTTTTTTTTAATTTTATAATAGTTTATTTTTACATATTTTTGTGAATTTTTTCATCTCAGTTGCAATCCCCTTGGGCTTCCCATCACCAAATCACCCATGTGCCATCACCATAGTCCAGTACATTTCCCTACCCCCACTGTTTCTGATCCTATTCCCCGCTCCCCCCCCACAAAATGTCTCTGGTATATAGCTGTTCATCATTATCATTATTTACTCGCCTGTTCCGTTATATTCCTGCTATGAGATAAAACATCCAGTATTTTTCTTTTTCTTTCTAGCTTATTTCACCGAACATGATCTTTTCCAGCTCCATCCATGTTGCTGCAAAAGACTTGTGTTTCTTGTTTTTGGTTGCTGAGTAATATTCCATTGTGTATATGTACCACATCTTTTTAATCCAGTCATCCAGTTTTGGGCATTTGGGCTGTTTCCATGTCTTTCCAATTGTGAATAAAGCAGCAACAAACATGGGAGTGCAGGTATCTTTTTTGAATCAGTGTTTTTGTGTCTTTTGGTTAGATACCTAGGAGTGGGATTGCTGGTCGTAGGGAACCTCCATGTTTAGCAGTTTGAGGAACCTTCGAACAGTTTTCCATAGTGGTTGTACTAGTTTGCATTCCCACCAGCAGTGCAGGAGAGTTCCTTTTTCTCCACATCCTCGCCAACATTTGTTGTTGCTAGTTGTTTGAAGATGTGCCATTCTCACTGGGGTGAGGTGGTATCTCATTGTGGTTTTAATTTGCATTTCCCTTATTATAAGTGATGATAAACTTTTTTTTTTTTTTTTTTTTTTTTTTTGCTGCAAAAAGCTTTATTGTTTGCATTTGGTCCACAACTTGGAGAGAGCTCCCGGGAGAGGCTTAGGCAGGAGCCCTCGACACTTGGGTGCCATTTGGGTTCAAAGGCCGCTGGGCTGTGGAGGAATCTAGTCGTGTTTGAGAGTGAACCTTTTGAAGAGATACTGGCCCAGCCCAGCCTGGGGGCTGGCCAGCCTGCACAGGTTGGTCATGTGGTCGCCCATCTTCTTGAGGAGTTTCACCTCTTCGTCAAGGAAATGGCTCTCCAGGAAGTCACAGAGATGAGGGTCCGCGCAAGTAGAGCCCAGGGCATGCAAATCCAGGAGGGCCTGGCTCAGGTTCTTCTCCAGGATCACAGCGGCTTCCTGGCCTCCAGGGTTTTCCCTTACTAGTCCTGGGAAGGTTTCTGGATGCCCTGGAGTAGGGCAAGGCCGCCACACTGGTTTTGCATCTTCAAGAGATGCTCGGCGCCCTCACGCTTCTCGTCGGCCAACTCGCGGAAGAAGTGGCCCACGCCAGCCAAAGCCACATCGTTGGGGTCGAAATAGAAGCCCAGAGAAAGGTAGGTATAGGAAGCCCGCAGATGCAAGTTGACCAGGCGATTGACGGCGGCCTCCACTTCGGTGGAATAATTCTGATGAATCTGGGCGGTGGCACGGATGGCAGTCATGACGAGCTGTTTCGCCGGAGCTCCCGACCCAAGAGCGACTTCTCCAGCCGATCGCGAGAAGTGGTTACGCACATCAGCAAGCTGAGAGACTTCCTTCTGGAGCACAGGAAAGACTATGTCAACGAGTATAGCCGCGTCATGTCTGAATATGGGAGGATGACGGACACGGAATGAGACCAGATAGACCAGGACGCCCAGACGTTCATGCAGACCTGCTCGGAAGCCATCCAGCAGCTCAGGACTCAAGCCCACAGGGAGACGTCCTCGCAGCAGGTGAGGCAGCACAGGAGCGCCATCCTGGACTTCGTCAAGTACTACCTGAAAAGGGTATGCAGACTGTACTTCGAGCAGAGGGCCGTGTGGGTCAAGCGCGTGATGGACAGGAAGAGGCTGTCCAAGTTGAGCTAGATCCAAACACCAGGACAAGGGAGCCCGGCTCCTCGGAGAGAGTTCCCAAGAGCCCTTCACAGGATCCTGAGGGAAAATCTGTCACTGACCACCATCCAGTAGAGCAGATCCCCGCCGACACGCAGGCCGAACTGGGGACGTGGGGAGATGGCAGAGGCGATGACGGTTATCCTTGAAGAAATACAGATGTATGAACAGGAAAAGCAGCGCCTGATCAGCGAGATGAACAACCTGTGTGACGATGTGAAGCTGATTGAGGGGAAAGTGGTTGAAATATCCTGACTCCAGGAGATATTCACAGAGAAGGTCTTCCATCAGGAGGCCGAGATTGACAGCATCCACCAGCTGGTCGTTGGGGCGACTGAGAACATCAAGGAGGACAACGAGGACATCAGAGAGGCCATCAAGAACAATGCCGGCTTCCGAGTGTGGATCCTTTTCCTGGTGATGTGCTCCTTCTCCCTGCTCTTCCTCGACTGGTATGACAGCTAGCCGGTGCCCGGGAGCGAAGCAGAGGGCAACGGCCCGCTCCCTCAAGGGATACCAGGCCCGCAGCTGTCAGCCTGGTCAGTGGCTGGGGAAGGCGAGGCACGTGGTGCCCAGGCAGGCCCGGACGGGGCCTGAGTGCTCATGTATTTCACGTCTGTGGCTCCCGTCCACTAGGGCTGGGGGCCAGGCCTGGCTGCTGCCCCCAACACCCTCCTGCCCCTGGGTCCGTGCCCCAGGGCCCTGAAGCAGACCTGGACGCCCTGGGATGGAGCCGGGACCCCTGCAGGGAGCACCCTCTGGTGCTCGCGGGGCAGGCAGGCCCAGGCGGCTGTGGACCCCGGTGTCTGTTGGCGGAGTGGACGTGTCAGGTGTGGACAGTCAATAAAGCAGGCTGGCCACCCCCCCCCCCCCACAAAAAGACACTTTGGAAAAGTGTCTTAAAAGCTCTTCTGCCCATTTTTGGATGGGGTTGTTTATTTTTGTTAAGTTTCATCAGTTTTCCGTATATTTTTGTGATCAATCCTTTATTGCTAGTTTTGTGTGAGAAAATTTTTTCCCAATCAGTGGGATGTCTGTTTGTTTTTTGTAATGTCTATTTTGCTCCACAGAAGCTCTTTAACTTGATGTAGTCCCAGCTATTTATCCTTGCCTTCACTATTGTTGCATTTAGTGCTCTATCTTTAAAGATGTTGCTGAAATATATGTCGTGTAGTGTTTGGCCCATCTTTGATTGCAGGTATTTTATGGTTTCTGTTCTTATGTCTAGTTCTTTAATCCACTTCGAGTTGATTTTTGTAACTGGAGTGAGGCAGTGATCTAGTTTAATTTATTTGCATGTAGCTTCCCAGTTTTCCCTGCACCATTTGCTGAACAAACTTTCTTTGTTCCATTGTATCTTCTTTGCTCCTTTGTCAACAATTAGCTGTCTGGCCTCAATATTTTTTAAAGGTTTATTTATGCACCCAGAACTGAGGCATAGGCCAGAGTGGTTCAGGCCCGGTGAGAGGATTCACCAGAGATAGAGTGAGGTACAGAACAGGCAGATCCACGAAGTACACTGCTGAGGGAAGCAGAGGGCCAGACAAGAAAGGAGTTCTGTGCCATGTGGGTCAGCTCCCTAGCTGGAGGTTGAACTGGTGCGGAAGTGTCTGCAGCCAGCTTCACAGTGCTGTGCTGCACCACAAGAGAGGCCCCAGTAATCTAAATATTAATATTTTAGTGCTTGAAATGTGAAAATAGCATTTCATTTCATAAAATATTTTTGATTGTATAAATGAAAATATCTGATGGGATTAGATATGTGAATTGTTAATGTGTTATAGTTAGACCTTTCAATAACTTATGCATGCAAAAAGAGATCTCTAAACTAGGTGGGACTTTTAAAATATAAAGTATACGTGTTGGGCTGGACATCTGGGGATATACTTGGGGCTTTCTAATTATATTAGATGGAAGTAATCTGAAACTTATTCTTCTGATCCATTCCTTTTCATGTGCCTGAGTATTCTAGAACATGAGCTCTAGAGAATTACAGGCTCAGAGTCAAGATAGTGTTTTATTAGAAATTGTGGACTAAATGATTCTCAATCCTTACAAGTCACACCAGCTAAAACTGTTTCCAAAGGCAGAAATACTCTAAGGGGGCCAAATATTTAAGAAGTCCGTAAGAACTCTTCACCAATCTGTGAACATTATACTTCTTTTCATTAAACAATAAAGATGTCATTGCCTCCAATTCCAAGCTAAATATAAGAGGGGTTGACATCCCTTTCTAGGATTTAAGGAGACATTGATGGTTTCTGGGTGTTACAACTATCTCTTATCAAAGCACCAAGTGGTTTCATTTACTTCCTGAATATGATCCAATAATGCAATTTAGGCAAGTTGCAAATTCCTCTTGGCAATTCCTATTGGGACTGCCAAAACGAAAAACCAGGTGTTACCCATAAATCCTTGTAAATTACTCAAACATTAGGCTCCCTCCACCAGAGAAATGAGAAGGATCCAGTAACAGTGATTTTTACTCATGTTGTCTTCAAATAATAAAACAGGACCACACACTTACCTAAAACCAATATAAGAATATGTCTCTGTAAAACCCAAATAGTCATTTAGAAAGAGAATCATTCAATCTGAAAAATTGTTTGGAGTACTTTTTACTGATGGATTTAAAAAGACTATTTCTGAAACACCAGCTGTTTGGCATGAGGGAATTACACTATATGCCAAAGATCAACAACCTTTGATTTTCAAAAGATAATATATAAAAATTACTATTCCCAGTTTCAAAACTGTTAGCTATTCCTATTTTTATATCATTTTTAAAAAAAATTTTTACATCGTTCTTCATTTTGAGCATTTTTTTTTTTTCATCTCAGTTATTTATGTTAGAGATAGTTTGGAAAAGAGAAAATAAAAAGGAGAAAAGAAAACTAAAATGTGAGACTGCTAGGGGTAGACAGATCTAGAAAGGAAAAGAAGGAGGAAGAAAGGATGAAGAAAGGAAGGGCAAAATAATGACAAGAAGGCAACAGAAAAAAAGATTTCCTCCAAATCCAAGCATTTGAATAAGGAATGGAATGCTGTTCTTCTGTCTTCCCTTTCAACCCTCTGCAACATACACACACAACACTCCCAAATCACCTTTTCTATCTATGGGACAAACTGCTCTTTGAAAACACATTGCTAGTATTCAGTAGTGAAGAGTGGACAGAGCAGAGGAACAAGTTATTTAACTTCACTGCAGGAGGTCTCAGGGAAAGTTATTTGTCTTTCCTTAGATGGTCATAAATAACACTATGTTCCAGGTGTTTAAAGACCCTGAAACAATTACCTTTTATTCTCTCCCAACTCCAATTCATTGCAAATTATCAAGTTGGAATGACTTTTAACTTGGCATGTCTATTTTTATCCACTCATATTTTTAATTCATGAAGGATATTATAGGAGTTGGAAGTTAGAAGGTTATGGGAAGAAAACCAAGATATGGTACTTTCTTAAATAAAAGGAGAGTTGGTGGCAAAGATATAAATTAAGTGGAACTAGTTAAGTTAGGATGTCATAATCAAGATTTTGTAAGCTCTACTAAAGAAAAACTGAAATTTCAAAATAGGTGATTGATCTCATGTTTTCTGAATACAGTTGACTGCACTGTGTTAATTTCCCCAATTACTTATAACTAATGACCATTCTCATATAACTGCAAAACAAAAGCTAAATATCACAATAAATGAGATATATATACTCATTTATATCTATATCACTATAGAAACTAATTTGCCCAATCAGAAATCTGGGCATCAAACTTACTCTTTTTCCCTCACATAACTGGTTAATCATCAAGTTCAGTCCATTCTTCCATTACAGTACATCCTATATCTCTTCTTCACACAGAACACTCTTCAAATTATCACTATCTATGGTCTATTGTACTACAACGCTACAACATCCAATATATATTCCTACATTACAGCCAGAATGATCACTTGAAAATATCAAATGGAAACTTATATTTAATATGACATTTAAAGTAACTGAAATTTGAAGCATTTTTCCATTGATCATTATGATAAATATTTAAATATTTAAGAAAATTACAAAGTACTTTCTAATCAAGTGCTGTCTCCTCTTGAGCTCTATTTTTACCGCTCTACAACTTAAATGGTAAATTCTTAAAGAGGTTATTTCTACTCAGTTCATTTTTTTTTTTAATAACACATACCTCCTGTAGTGGAGGTATCAACTTATTCATTATTTGCTTTTTTCTAGTTTGGGGTAAATGGGCGCTATACACATCCATGTGCACATTTTTGTGTGAAACTGAGTTTTCATTTCTCTAAGACAAGAGTGTGATGGTTTGGTGATATGATGAGTATATGATCAGTTTTCTGAGAAACATTCAAACTATTTTCTAGATTGGTTATACCATTTTGTCTTTCCATCAGTAATGTATGAGAGATCCTTTTGTATATTTTATTTTAGCCATCTTACTAGGTTGCTACTGATATTTGACTTTTACAAGAAATGAGGCAGGATGTTAAGAAACTTGATCAAAATCATATAACTGATTCATAAAATATTTAGAGTAGAAATCATTTTTCATTGTTGAATGACTAACTTTGAAGGGTAAATAGGCTAATTTAGAGAAGTTAGCTAATTGCTACATGGAGAATTAATGGACCAAATACCATTTATTCTCTAATACTGAAGAGTAGTTACTAATGTCTTCTGTCCTCTTGTTTCGTTTATGAGCCTCTGTATTAGCATTATTCAACCTCGGATCCTGAAATTAATGTAGGTTTTACATTACTTGCAAATAATGGTATAAAATTCATCTGTAGTTTTTTTTAAAAAAGATAATGTAAAATATTCCTGGAAGTCATAAAATTATTTGAGGTTTACAACTAATTGCATGATATTAGTTCTAAACATTTGTTTCTTTATCAGTAAATTGAAGAAAAAATGGCAAGTGCAGAACAAGAGCTCTGTTCTTTCTGGTTTTTATATACTTTTATTTCATTGACAGGTGCAAATGACTAAAGAAAACCAAATTAAATTGAAAAAAATTTTTGAATTGACAAAATTTTTTTTTTTTAAAGATTTATTTATTTATTCATACAGAACTGGGGTACAGGCCAGAGGCTCAGGGGCAGTGAGAGGCTTCACCAGAGACAGAGTGGGGAGCAGAACAGGCAGATCGACGAAGTACACTGCGAAGTACACTGCTGAGGGGAGCAGCGGGCGGGTCAGGAGAGGTCTGGCTCGCCATGTGGTCTCCTCCGGGGCAGGCGGCAGGCGGGAATCGAGCTCATGCGGAAGTGGCTTCAGATTCTCAGTGCTGCACTTTAACCCGCTGCGCCACCAGGGAGGGCCGAATTGACAAAAATTTTTAAAAGAACTTAAAAAATTATATTAATTTCACTTCCTTTCCACTGGCATTGTCACACATTTTTTTTTTCCTGTCTGGTCTGCATGTAGTAGATACTAATTATAAACATTCCTAG